CGTCATGCGTTTGCTTCTGCCTCCTACCAAAACAACTCGCTGTGCCACAGGCCAGCCCGTTCATGTGTCGGTGCCCTCAGCTCCACTCAGGTCACATTCAAGCTTTTTTCCTCCTCACCCTGCAGCCACAGTTGCTAGAAAATTTTGCTGCAAGCAGGGGCTGAGGCCGTGATGTAATTGCCTGGCATCCGCATCTGCCCCAGCAGGGAGGGATCGTCTCTCTGCCAGCTAACCTGCTTGAAAGAAAAGATGCAGTAACCTGATTTAGAGCTGGCTTTCCTCACTCCTGCAGCTCCTGATGCTCATCTTATCCCTCCAGACACCCAGGCTGCCCTGAACAGCATCCCTTCATGGCCTCCTTCCCCACTCCCCCCTGGCACACACCTCCCCTCATACCCTGGCAAGCAGCGAGGGCTATAATTAGACTTGAGCCCTTAATTAGATGTGCAGAAGCTGCGGGGATAAAATGGTGCAAGGCTAAGAAAGTCCCGGGCACTGACAGCTGCTGCTGCTGTTGCCTTCCTTGGGGGACCTCTGCTCTGGGATGTCTGAGCCTGGGCTCGTTATCTCTGCCACGCAAACCGAGGCTTTGTCGGAGAGGCGATTTCTCCGTTCTTCTGCTTTAATGAAGCTTCGGTCACGGTTCTTCCTTTGCCCTTGAATGGCAAACCAGCGCGTGCAGCATCTGCCTATCCCCCCCTGCTTTTAGCCTCACTCCTGAGGTAACCAGGAAAGAATAAGAGCAAAGTCAGAGCAGACTGAGCCTGGGGCCAGGACCGAGGGTGTTCCCGACCCCGTGGGTAGAGGCTGGACCAGTACTAGACTGCGACGTGGTGCGATGAGGAGATCCTCCTGCCTGGACCCAGGAATGCATCAGGGGCTCGGGGTCTGCCAGCACTACCCCGTGGGTACGGCTGCTCACGTGCTGCTACAGGACGCCGCGGTGCCAGCCTCCACCGGTCGGTACGTCCCTACCTGCCTGAACGCTGCACGTCCTGGCCCCCTGCCACCGCTCTCCCTCCCTGGTGTCCCCTGCTCCCTGGTGCGCGGTTCCCAGTTCGCACCCGAGCCCTCTCCCATGCCGGACAGGCAAAACGCGCTGCCCCTGCCGTACCCACCACGCTGAGCCTGCTCCCTCCTGCACGAGATCTCTTGATTAAGTTTCCCTTGGGGATTGTAAACAAGCCCAAGAAGTCACCTCCACAGTGCCCTTAATCTCCGTCTCCTGCAGGCTGCGGCTGTTGTTTATGAAGAGCCCTGACAACCACATTTGTCTGAGGCATCACTTAGGCCGTTTAACAAACCCCTCGTGGCTGGGAGCTCTTTGCCCGCAGCCCTGTGCCCAGGGCACTTGGCAGGGGCTCGGCAGGGGGAAGGTGGAGGCACCAGTGCCAGGGTCAGAGCCGGGGGGGACTCGATTCCCAGCTCCCCGGGGTGAGGAGGCGTTAGGGCATGGTGTGGGAGTGTGATGCTTCGGATGTGCGGGGGGACAGGATCCTTTTGGTGGTGCTGGAGGGGATGAGAAGGATGTTTATGTGCAAGTTGCTCTTTTGCAGGGTTTGGTGGTGAGGCTTGGACCTCGTGGGAGCTGCCTGGTCTGGAGAGGGCTCTGACTTTAGGGAAGCAGCAGTTGTCTCTGAGGTGTTTGTCTCCTCTGTCGTACAGATGGAGAAATCGAGGTGCAAAGTGACTTTGCTACAGTTGTGCAGAAAGCTGGTAGCGGAGCTGAGACTAGAGCCATGGCGGTCACTCTTGTGCTGCTTCTCTTTGCCATGAAACAGGGAAAAGCTTTGCTTCAGGTTTCACCTTCCTTGCTCAGGATCTCTGAACGTGCCCCTGGGGCTGTCTCTGCTGTCTGCGTGGCAGGCAGGCTTGCCTGCAGTGATCTTTTCTCTCCTGGTGAGCAGATGACCCATGACAGTTCAGGCAGTGTGATCACTCGCTCCAGAAGAGTGCTAATCACAGCCGAGATCAGCACATCATTTCTTCTTTCATCACCTCACACAGCTCCTCAGGGAATTGCTTGCAGTTTTGATTTTCCCTCCAGCATCAGAAATCACAGGTTATCAGCATTCACAGGTCATGGCAGTCTGCAAATCCTGCACTTCAGTGGCTGTGAGTGCCTCCACCTGTCCTTGGGGAGGAGGGTGATGTGGAGACCTTTTCATTAGATGCTTCAAAAGCCTGTGCAGAGCTGCTCTGACTCTGGCAACAGGACAAAGCAAGGCCTTCTCATGGGTAGAAACCTGCCTCGTCTCTTGGTGGTGTGGTGGGAAATCCCCAGCTCTGCCCTCTTCATCCTATAATTCTCATGACCTCACCCACAGAGGCTGATAAAAGGAGGCCCAAGAGAAGCAGAGCTGACAAATGGAAAAGCAAACAGCTTCCCAGCCTGGACACATCCCGTCATGGGCAATGTCACCTTGATGGAGTCTGATGATGCAGAGAGGGAAAGGGGGTGGTCAGAGCCTAATTCACTCACAGCCTGAACTGGGGCGTCCGACCCCCTCCACCCTGCCGTGCATCCCTCCCCCGGGCAGCACGGCCTTTCCTCCGCCGCGGCGGCTGCTCAGCTGCAGAGGCGGAGGGGGAAGAAAGCCCCTGGGTTAAGGAGAGCCCAGGCTGGGCTCTGTGCAATATTGGGTATCCTTGACAAAGGCCAGCACCATCTCCCCATCCTCAGAGATGGGGAACCTTCTCCATGGCTGCTCCAGCCTCACCTTAAGGCTGGAGGGAAGGAGGCTCCTTCCTTTCCTCCTGGGCTTCCCCAGTCACACATTTCTCTCCATACTCCAGATTTTCAGAGGTGTCAGGTCTTGGTGTCTCCCATTTGCTTTGATAAGAGCTGGTGGCATTCAGCAACAGCTCCTGTCTATGCTGAGGCTTTGCCCCATGACAGCTACTGCCTGGTCAGTCCTCCGAGGCCAAATAAGGTCTCAGTATTCAGGCTGCAAAGCCTGCATAGCTCCCAGTTTGCAATGGCATAAATCAGAGCCAGATCTGCCCTTTGGAGTGCAAGGCCACAAAGAAGTGATGATGAGGGAGACGAAGGAGGATGAATAATCCAAGACGGGAGTGGAGCCCTGCCTCATGAGTGTAACAGAGCTTTGAGAAGAGAGTTCACGCTTAGCAAAGTAATTAAAAGTTATAAGTCAGGCAAGCAGTGAAGGGTTCTGGCCCCTTTCCTTGGGAGATCAAAGCTTGTTTTGGCAGAGGCAGTGTTTAAATATATTTATAAAAAAAGGTGGGAGGCTCGTCAAAGGCAGCCACCATGTCTGCGGTCTCACTTTAATTTGCTTTGATATCCCATGCAGCCTTATTATTTGCAGGGTGTCAGGGCTCACTGTCATCCACATGAAATGCCGAGCAGAATCGAACAGGCCCTCACGTTTGCACGCCCACAGCTTCACGTCTCCTCCTGCAAGCACCCGGCGAGGTCCTCCAAGCCCGGGGGCAACCCCAGCCCTGCGAGAGCTCCTCTGTGGGACTGAGCATCCCCGGGTGCTGCGGGCACCTCGCCGTGAGGCGGGATGGGCTGGGCTGGCACATCCCGCCTGCCCTCTCTGGCCCCGGGGCAGCCAAAACACCTTTCCCCTCACCTCTGCAAGTCTTCTGTGGATTTTTATGTGCTTTTCCCATCATGTGGTAGTTCACATCTTTTGCCTATCCCGTTCCCCTTCGCATGCACTAGAATGGCCAGGTTGTCATCCTGCCTCTGGCTTTACATCTGTTGCTCCTGGAGATGAGGAGAGAGTGACCACAACCTACCTGGTGGGCTGCTGGTTTGCACCTTTCAGGGCCAGGCTGCATCTTTTACCAAGTCTTTGGGCTTGTTTACCTATGGGAACCAGCACAAATTCACCCAAACTATCATTTAAAGTGGATTAGTTGAACTCCGTTCAGTCGGATTTTAAATGGCCTTTGGGGTTTTTTCCCAGGTAATTTGCTTAGGAAGTGAGCAAGTTAAAAAGATTTGATTCAGTTTAATTGATCCACATTAATTTTATACCTGTGGTTAATTCACGGTAAGTTTCCTAACTGTTCCTACACAGACAGATGGCCAGAAAGGGACAGGGACCAGAGTCCTGCGGTGGTCCTGGAAGAAGGACTGACTCTGTGCCTCATTCTTGCCTGTCTGCCCAAAAACTCCTGGCACTGTTTCAGATGCTCCCGGGCCCGGTGGCATGGGCTGAACCCGGCCCTTGGGTGCGGGCTGCCTACGGAGGACACGCAGGTCCCCTGGTCCCCCAGCGACCATGGCACGAAACCGCATCTTTTCCCAGGTCACTTGCCTGCCACCTCTCATCCATCAGATGAGCAAACTGCGGCCAGGTCCCAGCCCTGCTCAGCACCCCGTGAAAGCCAGCCCTCCCTCTCCAGTCTTCAGCAGTGAGATCATCGCTGGCTGCCTGAGCGCGTTGGGATCCGTGCGCCGAAATCTGCGCTCGGCGTAGCAGGGGGTTGTCTCTGTGCTGCTCAGGGAAAGGGCTCGGCAAGGGGCAGGGCTCAGTGGCTCAGCCTGGGACATCACGGGTCCCCCCCTGGGGAGTTTTCATCCTGCAATGTTCCTCCTTGCTCTAGGGAAATAACTGCGGGGTGCCTGGACGCATGGAGGACAGCGGTGCTTTCTAGCAGGGCCCTTGGACCCTGGAGGTCTTGCTAACTTGGAGCGAAGCTGCAAAGTTCAGACGAGAAGGGAGAGAGCTGTGTGGCCACCGGGAAGGGGACAAAATGGTCGTCCCTGCTTGGCCCCACACCTTTTCAGAGGGAGACGCATCCCTCCTTTGGGGAGGTGGTTCTCCTCCGTCCCAGCACACCCAGTTAGCGCTGCCTCCTGAACAGCCCCGTGGGAACAGCATCCGTGTGAATCGGGGGAATCCCCTTCGCTGGGGTCCAGGCGACCCGTGCTGAACTCGTCAGTGTTTTGCTGTGCCGCTCTCTGGGTCTGTGCGTGCCAGAATATTCCTACCACCCAGCTGTTAATTGCAGCGTGAGGAGGTTTAAGTGCAAGCCTCAAACTGGAGACCAGAGGGAGCTCAATGGCTTATTTTGTTCTGATTTCTTGCTCCTTTCAGGAGTTTCTTGGGCTCAGTGAGGCTTCACACCTGGAGTCCCAAGAGAAGAGTTATTTTTTCTGAGCTGCTTTGGTTTTCAAGAGAGCTTTTGTGCTTCTCGGGACTGCGTGTCTGGCTAAGTGCAGCAGGTTGGGGCAGGAAAGCCTGGAGTGTTTTGTTTTGCAGTAAGTGACTCTGCAGCCTTTAATCCCAAACACCTTTGGAGAAGCGGTCACATCCTTGGAGGGAAGTACCCTGCCGTCTGTTGGTTTTGGTGGTTCCTGAGGCAGATTAGGTACGTGTGCTTGTAAGGCAGGGCTCTCTTTCTGTTTTGCTTCTGTACAGCCCTAGGACACAGGGATCCAGAGCCATGGCCAGGCGCCTAGGTGTTCCTAAATCGTGTTTTGTCTAAGGTGACGTTAGTGAAGATAAGGCTGGGAAGTTAAGATAAATACTCACCCGTGCAAAACCCCGTGGTGCTGCTGCAGAGGGGTGAGCTGCTTGGCAGTGCTGCCTGGCGCGTTGAGCGCTGGACTGGGACGTGGGAGATCTGGGTGGCCTTGGGGGTGAAGCAGTTCCCCTCTCTGCATCCCCCTCCCCGTCTGTCAAGAGAGACCTTCATTGCAGGGGGCTGCTGAGCAGAGCTGTGGGGTGGCGATGCACCAGGAGTCTGGAGCAGAAAGCAGGCATTCCCCCCGCCTCCTGGTACAGAGAAGGAAGAAGACTTTCCCACGGCCCCAGAGCACCTCCGGACCTCCCTGCCCTGCTCTCACTCTCTTTTCTCCAAAGCAAATGCCTCGGGCCTTCATGCTTCTGCTGCCTCCAGCAGCTCACTCTCCTTTCTCTTTGTCCTCAGACCTGGCTCAAGGGCACCTGCAGCTGGGACACCTGGGCAGGGACTTCCGAGCAGACACCAGCCCCATCTCCCCCTCCGAGGTAGAAGGCCAGTCGCCGATGGCCGTGCGCTACCGCAACAACAACCAGCGCCGATTCTCCATGGAGGCAAGTACTGCTGCAGGCTGGAGCGGGCAGAAGGGACATGGCAAGTTCTGGTTGTCACCTGCCTGCTGGCTGGAAGAGCCGGTGTTTCATTCGAGGGGACCTGGCAGTCTCAGACACGAGCCCTGACGTCCTCTTGGGTGCACTCAACGTGACTCCCACGGTACCTGACAAAGCCCAGTGCACATCCCCATGCACAAGCACCTTCCCTTTGCCTTTGACTAAGGGTCCCACAGATTCTGCACCCATTGCTTCGGCATTAATATCAGCTCTGGTTAGAGAGCACTGCCCCTTGAGCATCTCTGCAGTCCTCCTTTCGTCAGATGCATTCATCACCCGCTCTTCTGGCCCTCTCTGCAGGATGTCAGCAAGCGTCTCTCCCTGCCCATGGACATCCGCCTGCCCCCCGAGTTCTTGCAGAAGCTGCAGATGGAGAGCCCGGAGTTCCCCAAGCCCCTCAGCAGGATGTCCCGACGGGCTTCCCTCGTAAGTCTCACCATGCAGAGCGAGCGGTGCTGGGCACAGCATCTCGCTTCATGCATGCAAGTGCCTGCCAGCAGCTGCCCGTGCCGATTGCCACCCACCCATGCAGTCATGCCCTGCTGCACAAACTCCCTTGTACACCCTTGTGTGTCACGGAGATACACACACCCCCTGCCCGTGCAAATCCCTTTCTGCACGCTCCCAGCAGTACACATTCCCCCCACCATGCACACATGCGTCTCTTCCCCCGTGTCACTCCTACGCATGCACATCTGCATACTGCTGTGCAAATCCCCAGGCCTGCTCATTCCTTCACTCACCTCTGCACATCCCTGACTTTCCTCTTGGCCTGGCTCCTTCCAAACAGGAGGAGGTGGAAAGCCTCCTGTGGTTTAGCAAGTGCTGGAGCCTCTGCTAGTTGAAATGTAAATGCCGATAAATAATGAATTAGCTTTTGCATTAGTGCTGGCATTTCAGACGCAGAGCATCAGCATATGGAGGAGCAAAAACCCGGTGCCCTGTTTACAAATGTGCAAGCATGTGTCCTGCTGCCCAGGAGGGCTTGGTGCTGTGCAGATACAACAGCGAGGTCTCAGCAGGTGTCTTCAGATCTGGCATGTCTTTTCATGGGGAGGGAGGAGAAAAGGAGAGCTTGCATTTACCTGCCTGTTCTGTCTAACCAATAAAATAGACATAGCCAGACCAGTGTGCCATTAATATTCATGGTGCCCTCCATGAATAAGGCATGCTGCTGTGAAAAAGAGCAGTATGGCTCTTGGGGGTGCACGGCACCTCGGCTTGCAGCAGCCACTTCATTTCCCTGCTCAGCACACATCTGTTCCCAGGGTACGCAGCGGGTTTGGGAAAGCCAAAATGGAGTAAAAAACCCACTGTGTTCCCCTGGGATTTGCTGGTCCAAATCCAGCCTGCGTGAGCCAAGAAAGCAGCTTCCCCGCTGTGTGTGGCAGCTTGGGAGAGCTTGGTGGTCTGGTCGGTGCCTGGTGCAAGGAAAAAGCCTTCCCGTGGGGCAGGTCTGGCGAGCAGGGGAGGCTGCAAGAGCACCCCAGGCCTGGGGCTGCTGTGTTCCAGGCAGAGCCCTGGGCACGGTGCAGCAGGCTCCTTCAGTGCCTGCCCCACGGGACCCTTTCCCTGCACCGGGTCTTTGCTGATTGACAGCTGTCCATCCAGCTCCGGCTGCTGATGGCGAGCAGCGTGGCCTGAGCCCTTATAGAATCATAGAATCATAGAATCATCTAGGTTGGAAAAGACCTTTAAGATCATCCAGTCCAACCATTTGGGGGCCTTTAGGTGGGCTGGAGGCAGAGCTGGCTGCTGGCCTGGCACTACACTGGTGCAAACCTATTTTGTGGGAGAGTGACACCGGTTTGTTAAGCTTAAGGAGCAATGCTTTGCCCTGGGCCTTGGGCCCTGTTGTGCTGGCACCCATCCCCTGCCCTGGCACGTAGATAATTCACACGAACCAAGGAGGCGTCAATGTCCCCACGGAAAACTGCAATTCCAGGGGTCTGCTAGGAGTGACACCTACATCTGTGCCCTTGCAGTGGTTGCCCTTCTTTCACTGGGTACACGAGAGCAGGTCTCGGCAATACGTTAAAGAGTTACTGTTCCAAATGGGAAAATGTCCCTTTCACGCTTGACTTGAACAGCACACAGAAATGAATGGAGTCACAGTAAAGACCAGGACGTAGGAAAGCGCTCGAGAAAAGGCTGGGCATCAGCAGTTAGGATCCCACGAGGCTTCTCCGTGGCTTTTTGCAAATCACAGCTCCTGTTTGACTCGGCCGCTGCTGGTGGCGTGTCGGGGGGGTGGGCGAGGGGAGAAGGGAATTGCAGGGGTGGCAGCGGGAAGGGGCCGTCGTGCCGGCTGTGGCCGCCCTGGGGTGCGGGGTGGAGGTGCCATCCATTTCGCTGGAGCAGCCAGTCGGTTGTGAAGGCTTTCTGATTGATTGCCTGGTCGCCTGCACGGCTTCTCCAGGAAAGCAATGGACTTGATGTACTCAGATCAGCTGGGCTTCTGCATGCAAACGCCTGCCTTGACTGATCTGCCCCCAGAGCTGTTACTGTGCAGCGTCCTTGACCTTGCCCCCAGAGGTGAAGCCATCCCTGGATGAGATCCCTCCTAGTGATGTTTTCCTTTCTCTCTTGCAGTCAGATATTGGGTTTGGGAAGCTGGAAACCTATGTTAAACTGGACAAACTGGGAGAGGTGAGTAGACTATGAAACCCCTGTAAGGATTTAAATTAAGTTAGAAGGGCAGCTTGAAGTGCAAAGGGCAGACTGTAGCCAAATTTCTTCAATATCTAGCAATTTTTAGACCAAGTCTTTCTGTGGATTTCAGACTTGGCCCTGTACCTTCAAATGATCCTTCCTCCAAATGTGACGGAGTATATCAGCATTGTGCCACCCTGGTGAATGGTCTGCATGGCTTCTATTTTCTCTCTCCCCATCCAGGGCACTTACGCCACGGTGTTCAAGGGACGCAGCAAGCTGACCGAAAACCTCGTTGCCCTGAAGGAGATCCGCCTGGAGCATGAGGAAGGGGCACCGTGCACAGCCATACGGGAAGGTGAGGGCAGGAGGGGCTTTTCCCCATTGCGGTCCCTCACGAGCAGTGCCGGCTCGCAGGTGGATTTGGGACGGGCGGTGCAGGTGGCCGTGTGTACCTGCGGTCCCACCAGCGCGCTGCTGCGCGGTGCCCGGTTCCAGCTGCCCCAACCTGCCGTGTCCTCTCCTTGCAGTGTCGCTGCTGAAGAACCTGAAACACGCCAACATCGTGACCCTGCACGACATCATCCACACAGAGCGCTCCCTCACCCTCGTCTTCGAGTACCTGGTGGGTCTGGGGGGGCTTTCTGCGGGAGCGGGGGGACGGCTGCCTTTCTGCAGGTGGGTGATGGGGGCCGAGGGCAGGAGCGGCTGATGTGTGCTTCCCGTTGCAGGACAACGACCTCAAGCAGTACCTTGATAACTGTGGCAACCTGATGAGCGTGCACAACGTGAAGGTAAGACGGTGCTGCCTGGGACTCTGTGCCCCTAGAATCATAGAGAATCGTTTAGGTTGGAAAAGACCTTTCAGATCATCCAGTCCAACCACTAACCTAACATTACCAAGTCCACACTAAACCAGTTCAGGGGAGAGTAGCAGTTTCGTGTTTCCTGGCTTGGTGGCTGGATTATTTTTAATGAAAGTAAAAACTAGGAATCATTAAGATTGGAAAGGAGCTCTAAGATCCCCTGCCTCTCCCCGCGTGCGGGGAGCTCACCCTGAGTGCAGTCCAGGGTGTTGCAGGGCTGGGTGAGGCTGGATACCCCTCCTCTCTTCATTTCAGCCTTCTTACTCTTCTTTGACCCTCTTCAGCCTGCTCTGATGCTCCACCAGCTTTTCTCAAGTCACTGCCATGCTAAATAAAATTACTGTGCATGAAGACTTTGTTCAGCCCCTTTTCTGGGTTGCTGGTGATGGGCCTGAACATTTATCTACAATGCGTCTCACCCCAGGCCAGCTTCGAGGGGTCTTTCCTGGCCATGAGTTTGAGAGCTCATTTTTAGCGCCTGTGTCCCAGTGCTAAGTGCCAGCCCCTTCTCCTCCCTGCAGATCTTCATGTTCCAGCTGCTGCGTGGTCTGGCTTACTGTCACGGGAGAAAGATCCTGCACCGAGACCTCAAACCTCAGAACCTGCTCATCAACGAGAGAGGAGAGCTGAAGCTGGCTGACTTTGGTAGGTGGGCCTCTCTGGGGAAGGTGCAGCATTGCCAGAAGGTGCAGCTAGGTGCAGCTCCTTGATGCCCATCCCCTTCATCCTCAGGACTGGCCAGAGCCAAGTCAGTCCCGACAAAAACGTATTCCAATGAAGTGGTCACGCTGTGGTACCGGCCCCCCGATGTCCTGCTGGGATCTACCGAATATTCCACACCCATCGACATGTGGTGAGCCACGGCTCCAAGCTGAGCTTCCCGGGGTCTCTGGGACGGTGGGTTGGGCATTCCCATCCATCATCTGCCAGCGCAGCACCGTGCGTGCCCGCAGCGTTGGTTACACCAGTGCGTGGGGGGCTCTCCTAGGGGCCATGCTGTTTTCCATGTCCCCTGGGGCTCAGGGTCCTTGGAGCACGCTGTCCACATCAGGGGTGAATGGTTCCTGGTAGCAGAGAAGGGACACGGCTCCTGGAGCTCATTTCCCTCTCCTCAGCCCTGGCCAAGGGGTGGTTGGGCGTCCAAAAGGCTCCTCCCTCACTAATCCCAGGGCTCTGCTGCTGCTTTAGGGGCGTTGGGTGCATCCACTACGAGATGGTCACCGGGCGGCCCATGTTCCCCGGCTCCACGGTGAAAGAAGAGCTGCATTTGATCTTCAGGCTGCTGGGTGAGTCTTCTGCTGTCTCCCCAATCCCCACGCGAGGGCAGTGGCTGACTGCAGGAGCAGTGGCAAAGCGCAGCCGCCGGAGCCTGGAGGGAGCCCGCTGGCAAAGCCTTGCAGGGGCGTGGGCAGGCGTGGGCAGGGGCTGCCTGCAGCCCCCCTCCAGGCTTGCAGGCAGCAGAGGTGTGAGGGCACCCATGGGGTGCGCAGGCGAGTCCCAGCTTGCTGGGGAAATTTGTGCCCTCTCTGCTGGCGCCCGCATGCACGAGGATCGTCTCTCTGCACCAAATGAGCGTGACGGGTTTCCCTTTCTCCCCCTCCCAGGGACCCCAACAGAAGACACCTGGCCTGGAATAACATCCAACGAGGAGTTTAAGGCTTACAATTTCACGCAGTACCGAGCCCAGCCGTTAATAAATCACGCCCCAAGGTACCTCCTTGAGCAGGGACACGTAAGGCATGGTGGGCTTGCGCTGGTCCTAAACGGGAGCCTGGGGAGACCAGTTTCATTTCGTCCTTGTGGTGCTGGCAGCTTCTGAATGCAGCTGTGCACCGGAGGTCCCCGCTGCCACTTGTCCCTTGCATTGACAATTGCAATGTCTCCTGGGTGCAGTAATGCTCCGTTTTTTATTTCCTCCTTCTCTCAGGCTGGACTCAGAAGGCATTGACTTGCTGATGAACCTCCTTCTGGTGAGTGGTAGAGCAGTCCAGGTGGATGGCAAAGGGATTTGTTGAAGTGGAGGTACTCTGGCTGCCCTCACACTGATTTTGGAGCCAGGCAGGAGAGGAGCTGTGACTGCAGAATAAGCCATGGCCCTACAGCTATGGCGTTGTAGATGCTATCACAAACCACCACTCATTAAGGATGGTGAACCGTCCTTCACCCTGTGTCGTCTCACACAAGTGAAAGGACACAAACCTGATGATCCATAAGGTACGACATGGCCGGTGCGCTCCTGTGGTCACGCAGTGTGTGCTCTCTGTCCCTTGTGCACATGCAAATGGCACTGGTAATTGCCTGCACGCCCCCGTGGTGTGCACAGTGTGTGGACACACTGTCACCCACGCAGCGTATGAAATTGCTTGGGCACTTACATGTGCATAGGTGCGGAAATGTGCACACACCCTGTATGGGGGCCTCTGTGCCAACTGAACGCCGTCTCACACGTGCAGACTGTATGTAATTGCCTTTCTCTGGGGCTTTGTGCAGTACGAAGCCAAAGGCCGGATTTCGGCGGAGGCAGCCCTGCGGCATGCTTACTTCAAGAGCCTGGGAGAGCGGGTGCATCTCCTGCCTGACAGTAAGTGCACGCTGTCCTCTTGCCTGGGGGATGCGGAGCAAATTGCTGCTGGGCACCCTGAGGGTGGTGGTTTGCAGCCAGGTCTCTTCGGATGCCCCTTGTCTTGGCTCACTCAGAGGTGCTGCTGCAGAAGAGTGGGGTGGGAGTTTGGTGGCTGCGAGAGCAAGAAATAATTTGGGTGGGACAATGTGCAGTAGGAGTAGGAGTGCAAGAGACAAGCTCTGATGAGGTGCAGTGCTGCACTTGGGCACTGCCGTCCCCCTTGGCTCCGGGTTTGCAGACCGCTGCTGGCTCAGGCAGCTGGACTGATGCCTCCCCCTCTACCCCTCTGCCTAGACGTCTCCATCTTCTCCCTGAAGGAGATCCAGCTTCAAAAGGACCCTGGCTACCGAGGCTCAGCCTTTCAGCAGTCAGGTAGGGCTGGGGAAAATCATGCTGACCTCTCCCAGACGGTGCCACGGACTACGCTGGCACTGGGGTTACTCCCAGTGGGTCCCGCACAGGAAAAAGCCAGACCTGCTCCCTGCTCCCTGCTTTAGTCCACAAATTACCTCAGGGCATCCTTGCTTGCCACCTACCGTGGCACCAAAGTCGCATCTAGGTGCCTAGAGGTGCAGCTCCCTCCTCTGTGAATGCCATGGGCTTGTAACCTCCTAACCCAGAGCACTGCAGGGCTTGGGTTCTCTGCAAAGTGCCGCTCGCCATCTGACCTCTCTGACCCGTTTCTCTCTCTCTTCCTCAGCCCGAGGGAAGAACAGGAGGCAGAGTATATTTTAAACTTGGATCTCGTGTTCCCCTTGTCACCATGGAGATCACAGCACTGAGAAAGGAGATGGCAACACGCTCCCGCCCAACCCACCGCAGAATTACTGACTTGAGCAGGACGATGCTGAAGCGCCCTTGGCCTGTCCCCACAACCACAGCCCCTAGCAGCTGCTGTTGATGGACCTGTGGCCTTTTTCCCCTCTTATTTTCATGTTGTCCCCATCAGACGTGAGCTGCCACCCTCTGTGCTGGTGCTCTAGCGAGGAGCTGCCCTGGGCATCACCCGGGGCGCAGGATCGCGTGCCGCCCCAGGGAACTGCTCGCTGCCCTCAGGGGGTGAGCTGGGCACGGGGAGGTTTTGTGAGCAGAGGGTGGTATCTCCAAAGCCGGGCTGTGGACCGCAGTGTTTGGCCCAGGCAGGCATTTCTGAAAACGTACCTTTGCTCAGACAACCTGCTCTGCACCCCCTCTTTCTTGGGGAGACACTTTGCAGACGTGACGAGTCAGGGGCATGACCCAGCCTGGCACTGGAGAGGCTGCACCTGAAGCACAAAAACCAGGGCAGCCCTCCCTTACTTGCACCTGCGTCTGCCTACGTAACCCCTTTTTCCCTCCCCATCTTTGGTACCTGAATCCTGACAAGGATGGAGCAGCTGGGAGGAGGGAGCTTCCCCTTCCCATTGCTTCCCCCAGCATCTCCCGCTCCTTGCCAGCATTGTGTTTCCAAATTTGGCTGGTCAGCTGGCTGCTCCCCAGGGATGTCCTGAGCTGAGAGCAGGGGCCGGCCGAGCCCACCCGGGGTGCAGGTGCTGCTGGTAGAGCTGTGCAGAAGCGGGGCCAAACGAGCATCCGCTCCGTGCTGCCTCCCGTTGCTGCGCCGAGCCCTTCGGCCAGCCTTCCCCAGGCACCGATGGAGCGGCCCCTTTCTCACGGCCGAGCCTGCTGCCCCCCACCCCGCGACCCTCTCTGCCGGCGTCGCGAGGGGCAGGACGCGGTTCCCAGCTGCCATCTCGGGAGCGCATCTCCCCCGGTCCCGTCACTGAGCCCCACGCGACGTGGCAGAGCCCAAGCCGCGCAGCCTCTCCGTACCAAAGCGTTGCACACACCCACCTCGGTGCATTTCTACCCAGCGGAAGGGGGAGAGGTGCCAAACCTCCCACAGCTCAGCTGTGGCAACCAGAAATAGACCCGGAGAGGAGCAAATCATCCCTCAAACCTCGTCGCCTGGCCTCTCTACGTTTGTAGCCAACACCAGATCGTACCAGCCCTGACTCAGATCGATGCCGTGGGACTGAGGCGCGTGCTTAGATCTGAGCGTGCTTCGCTGGCCGAGGACCGTTCCTGGTGCGTTTTCCCCTCTGTACACTTCAGGAACGTGCCAAATCCATCGCGAGCGAAGCGTCTCTGCCGCACCTCTCCCCCACAGCCTGCAAACAGCCTGAAACGTCTTCAAGCGTGTGAGCGTTGCAAGAAGTCTCTCTACTGTATAATATTCACATCCTTTTCTTGGCTGTCCTGGATGACTAGTCCTCTCGCCCACCGCTCCTCCAGCCCATGGATGTGGCCAGGAGACTCTCGACTTGGCTGGGACTGTCACCTGGCACTGGGACTGGCAGGACACGCCGATGTCTTAACCCGTCACGCTCCCAGCCTGGGAGGCATCGCTCAGGGGACGGCAACACTCCATGACGCTGTTTCCCCATCGAGCCAGGAGCGAGGGCTCTGTTTTCTGCTTTGCCGTGCAGGATTTCTTCTGTGATCCTCAGAAAATGCAAAGCGTGAGGATAAATGAGACCCTGGAGCTCCCCGAAGCTTCTGGGGGGACTCCTTCCTGTGCCAGTGCTCGATGCGATGTGCCCTCCGAGCTTCCCCCATCAGACCAAAGCTGTTAATTCGGGTTTGTCCTAGACAAGCATCCAGACGTCTGCATTGTTTGAGGTTTGCCCATCCCTGCTCAGTTCCCTTCTCGGTATGTCCAGCATACAGCAGGCTGAATAGTTCATTAATTGTTTCCATTTGATAGGGAAGAGCATGAACAGCCATCAGCCACCAGTGACGCATTTCACCCCGACGGCAGGGTAGTGCTTTGCCTGGTTTCCTACACCCGGCTCCTGCCGCACAGGGAGTAGGGGAGCTTCAGAAAGGGAGGCGTTGGCTGGAGTCAGGCTGAACTCTCACACTCTCATCTTTCCTTTCACAAAGGCATTTTATACAGGAATTTCCTCGGCATGGCAGGGATCTGTGGTGCGGACTTGCGCTTCCCAGGGCAGCCGGCTCCCGTCAGGGTTT